AGGAAACAAATGTGTGTAAGCACGCAAAGATATTACCATGGGCTTAGATATTACAACTGGGTGTCTGTTATCTGAGAAATAAAAGCATTCAGATCCAGCATAAATAATCATACTTACTATCACAATCCCCAACCAGAAGAAAATATGCATGCAAACTATGAACAAACTTGAGAGAATCAACAGTTTTTGACGCTGCTGCCAGTGCCTGTAATATGTATGAATTAGAAGTGAATTTCTGTGTATCAAGAAGCATTAACAATATTCCTATAGTTTTTAAGCCAACATTTATCAAGTAGTTTAATTAATGTGAATACAAGTAGCCAAAATGAGCATAGCTCAACTATAATTAACATATATTCCTTTCCTTGAGGTTGGATGTTCAAAGCCCCGTATCCCAAATCCGTGGCACTCAAGAAAAAAAAACACATTAATACAAGCAACAGATCTTGAGACATGCATAGGCTGCTAAATCAGTAGAGACGTAAACAAATGGATATTTCCCTCAAACCTTTTATACTTTAAAAATATGCTGTTATGATTGGCAAACATAAAAACAAAGTACAATATCAAGGGTACGCGATAAAGCACCAGATTGACATCAGAAAGAAAAATTTTGAACTGCACTTAAGATTAATTGATTCACCAGTCAACTACATTGAACATTTGACAATGCAAAATCCCAACCTATCCAGGACCCTATACTTTGAAGTCTATAAAACAATCCCTCTTAAAGCTATCGATAGTGCTTTATGACGAAAGAAGAAATAAAAATGATGGTGCAATATCAGGGAATATATATATGTATACCTGACCAACTAGCTGCCCACCAAAAACCTTACCAAATTTTGGAGCCTCGGGTAAAGTAATCCCTTGGAATGTATTCGCCTCCAGAGAATCCAAAAATAAGGAAGAAATAGAAGCAACAATTTTAGGAAGCTTATAGGCAAAGAAAACAATAGAATCAACTTTATTGTAGTTCTATGATTCAACGGGAACAAGTCAACCACAATTTTTCTCATAATTTTCCTTTCAGTAAGTGTAAATCTATGATTCAACAGTAACAAGGAAACGCTCTCATTCTCAGTTTAAGTAGAACGAAATTTATTGATCTTCTTTTTATGCAGTAATATTCCAAAGGAGGTGATATATAAAAATAAAACGACCTTTGATATTTCAATAACATTCAAAATGTTTCTAACTAATGAATTAAAAATAATCTTTAGTTTAATTAAATAATTAGATTCATGGCAGTTGGGAATGTGGGCACTACTTGCGAAAAGTAAAATCGTATTCAAGAAAAACATACTTCCAGAGGCTCTAACTGCAGTATTTTCTCAACAACTGCAAATGTATCACGAGTTCTGTCAGCATTCCAGATGGACATTGGATTTAACAATGTATAATGTTCCCGAGGTAGGACCAAACATGTTAGCTGCCACAAACAGAAGCACGTAGGTAGGTAAACTATGTAGATAGCATAACATCAAGAACAATGCATTTTGCTTGTAAAAGAAAAAAAATGGAAGGCCTAGACGACCTACCTTAGACAAAGCAACTATATCAGATTCCTGTACAGATCTTGAGGTTCCTGCAAAATCAGTTGATTTCATTTCTAGTTTCCAGGCTCATCACCAGAATTGCATATAGCAGGCAAAATCCACAGGGTGTTTTCTCAGCCCGAGATGAGAATATAGTTGTAAGTGTACATCAAATTAAACACATAACATAGCATATACAGATGGGTACATTAATGAAATCCATCACTCACTTGTTATCATCTCAAAGAAGAAAGACTATACGGCAAAGAATGGACACAAGAGAACAATCTAATGGAAGCACCAAAAGGAGAAGATTAGGAAAACAGCAAAATCCCACCGCTAACAGATATTGTCCACTTTGGCCTGTTACTTATCGCGTCAGCCTCATGATTTTAAAATGCATCTATTAGGCAGAAATTTCCACACTCTTACGAGAAATGCTCAATTTCTCTCTCCAACCAGTGTGGGATCTCACAATCCACTCCAACGTCCTTACTGGCACACCTCTTGGTGTCTAGTTCTATACTATTTGTAACAGACCAAACCCACCGCTAACAGATATTGTCCGTTTGGCTCGTTACGTATTGCCGTCAGCCTCAAGATTTTAAAACACTTTATTAGGGAGAGGTTTCCACACCCTTATAAGGAATACTTCGTTCCTCTCTCCAACCGATATGGGATCTCACCGGTAAACTGGTATGATCTAATACTAGGTTATAAAGATTTTCTACAAATGATTGCTATTCGGAAAAGTGTGGAGAATATGATGAGTTGAATAACAACGCAGAAATTTTAAGGAAACTTCCTGTTTAATAAATTTGACAGAAGTTGATCTCACAATAGTGCATAAAAATGATAAAATACTGAAAATATATTTACCACTATCAAAATAGTCATAACGCCTTAACTGAAATTCTGGACGATTTTCTCCATCTGCATCACCGCAACCATGTACTTCGGCCTGTAAACCATGAGAGAAGCTTTTTCAAGACCAACTAAACTTTCAACAACTGCAAAATTCCGAAGAAGATTACCTCTCCCTCCCATATGAAATAGATTCCAGCTCCTGTTTCACCCTCACGAAGAACGTAATCTCCGCTCTCTGAAAAGACAATGTCAAATTAAAATTATCATATTACAACTGCTACGCTAGCTAATGAATTTGAAGTTACAATAGCATCCACACCAATTTCTAGTCTAATGTCAAGTTTTCAGTTAATGAAGCATTTAAACTTTGAATATACTATCACACTGCTGTGAGTTCGATTGTTTCCAACAATTTTCATCAGACAGGAAAGAGAAACAAAGACTTCAAAGATAAATCACACATCGGTCACTACATACTCAATCGATCGAGTGGAAGAGAAAAATATTGATTGATTTCATCAGCTGATTACATATTATGATAGACCAAAAGTTATAAACGCATTGTGGAAAATCAAAGTTACCGTAGTGCTTGACGACGGCCACTTCAGCCACTGCCCTTAGAGACGAACTAGGCAGCTTCTGCAGCAGCGGAACACATCCAAGAAACTCAATCACTGCAAAATCAAATTAAGAACATCGAAATTACGCGCGACGGAANAAAAGTGAAGTGAAAACAAAAAAAAAAAAAAAAAAAAAAAAAAAAAAAAAAAAAAAAAAAAAAAAGGAAAGAAAAATCTTGATTCCGATTACAGTTCGGCGCACCTGATTGTAGGTTCATGGTGCTCGAAACAGAATCGGCTCTTAGTTCAATAGTAGATAACAGAAAACGAATCAGTTCGGAGTATAACTGTTGGATGAAGATGATCAACGGAATTATGAATTCCTCCGGGCTAGTTCATCATACACGTTATAAGTACTTAATATAATAAACAATTTCTTTTTTTTTTTTTCTTGACCAACAAATTCACAAAAAAAAAAACAAAAATATGAAATTATACCAAAAAAAAAAATTGAGTTAATTTGGTTGAAAATTGAAATATTTGGACTCACATATATCATATTTATCTTAAATATTAAATATGTATCACTAATAAATAATTATGGGATAATTAGATTAAATTGCGAAATCAACCAAATTTCACTTTTCAAATTTGAAAATAATTGATATAATTGTTGGATGAAAATCCGAGCTAATTTAAGGAATGATCATGAGTTTATAATCAAGGAATACTATCTCCATTGGTGTGAGGCTTTGCCGAGAAGTCTAAAGCAAAATCATGAGAGGTTATGCTCAAAGTGGACAATATCATACCATTGTAGAGAGTTGTGTTCATCCAACATGGTATCAGAACCATGCCCTGTGGACAATATCATATCATCGTGGAAAGTTGTGTGCATCTAACATGGCATCAGAGCCATGTTCTGTGGACAATATCATACCATTGTGAAGAGTCATGTTCATCTAACATGTTATTAGAGTAATGCCCTAAACTTAACCATGTCAATAGAATGCTCAAATGTCGAACAAAGGACTCCAAAAGAAAATGAGTTCGATGAATGAGAGGTATGAGATGAAAGTCAAAAGTTAACCGTGCATTAATTGGGATCCAAGAATCGAGGCAATGCATGGAGGAAGTAATCAAAACAACATACCTTATAAGGACGTTGTGCCACCTAGGCATGCGTGAAACATGGTTGGTATGATACTCCGCACGTGCCAATTATAGACACATTTATTTTATGAAACTTTTTTTTCAATAATATTTAAATAAATAAGTAAATAAAAGTTGATCGTAAATTTTAATTCTATATTTAAATAAACAATAAATATATATTAATCACAATAAATAAATGGAAGCTTTTTATATTAATATTTTACTTGGATTAAAAATAAAGATTTAAATCAATATCTTAGATTAAGTTTTTTTTTAAAAAAATAATAAATTATTAACAGAGCTGTAATTTTCCGAGAAGCTGCAGAAATGGTTGGAATGCGATGCGAGGTTAACTCTCTTCTCCTCACTCTCTGAATTCCGCTGGTTTTGCATTTCATTCTGTGGGAACGATCCTCAAGCTTTTGTCAATGGAACAAAGATTTGGTATTGATATTATGTTGTGCTTTTCGCGATGTGCACGCAACCTGTTTGTCAAAAGTCCCAAGAGAAAAATTTATACGATGCGTCCTATGATCGATGCTTCTTCAACCAAAATTTCATGCTCAACTAGAGGACGTAATATCTTTGACGACTATATCATTGATTTTGGTAAGAACAGGACAGCCAGAATCTGTTTTTGCCTTCTTCAAGATGATGCTCGCAAATGGGCTCAGGCCAAATCATGTGATGATGCTGAGCGTAATAAGAGCTATTGATGCGTTAAGCTGGGATTCAATGATTGAAGGTTGTGCATGGAGGAGTTATCCAAATGGGTTTTATGTTAGAAGTAGCAGGATTTCGTTAGCCGTTCTTGGGTTTTATACAATGCGTGGAGTGCCATGATCATGGCATTCTTGAAATATGGTCAGCATAGTGAAGCTTTGGATCTTTTCAGAGGGATGCACAATCAGGGAGCTCAGCTAAACATGTAAGCATTGTAAGAATTCTACCTGCTTGTGCTGATTTTTGTGTTTTTGTGAGATCCCACGTCGGTTGGAGAGAGGAACGAAACATTCCTTATAAGGGTGTGGAAACCTCTCCCTAGTAGACACGTTTTAAAACCGTGAGGCTGACAGCGATATGTAACGGGGTCAGCCGATATGTAACGGGCCAAAATGGACAATATCTACCGACAGTGGACTTGAACTAGTAGAATGGTATCAGAGCCAGACACCGGGCGGTGTGCCAGCGGGAACGTTAGACCCCAAGGGAGTGGATTGTGAGATCCTACATCGGGTGGAGAAGGGAACGAAGCATTCCTTGTAAGAGTGTGTAAACTCATCCAATTGAAAAACTGATGGATGGAGGGAAATTTATCAGGTAACTCATACAGCTGAGTAGTAACTTCAACGCATCCATGTTATTGATGATCATTGAATTCCATTAAATGGTCTGAGTTATCTTGAATTTCAATGGAATTGATGGTCTTGGTAGTTTTTTATTTACTTGAAACATCACCACTCCATAACATAACCTATCTATTTATGCTCTTGCTACTTCAACCTATCCAATACGTAAAATTCATGAAGGGTGGGATTCTTGAAGTGCTTCTTGTCAATGCCAGAGACATCAAACACACCAATCTGTTTGGTATTATCTTCTCTTATAGACTTGTTCTTAATGTTAACTCGGGTTGAGCCTCAACCCGAGAAGTACTTTTTGTCTGTTTAGAGCATTTTTTGATCTGTTGACCTTTAAAATGATTATTAGCGTCTTATTCATATGCTCGGATTTGCTTCTTGTTTTAGGTTCCCGGGCATATTATGTGATGGTAGAATGTGGAAATCATGAACACAGAACAAAAGTATCATCAGGTTGGCTCCCCTCTGCTCTTTTCTCGTATGGTAATTTGTAATGCTTCCATGGTCAGGGCTTTCACTATGTTCTGTGGACACAGGTAAACATGAGAAGGTTTGTTGGAATGAGAAGTTTTCATTTGAACTCCCTTCATCTGATTGGAAGAACATAACTCATATCAAATTCAGAATCATGCAAACAAAATTTCTGAGCAATGAATCTGTTGGTACAATAGTGTATGAATCTTTCATACCTCTGCTTATTTCTTTGAGCAAAAATTTTCTCTATGTTTACATATTTCGACACGAAAATAGCAGAATCCACCTTGGTGGAATAATTTCAGAGGGATACGAAAGAGGATTCATAGAAGTTCGGCCAGCTCCATACAACGTCGTGCTCGAGGAGGACGACACTTACAAAGGAGAAATAAAGATAGGATTCAAATTTTTCACCAAAGTAAGATTTATATACAAAATTTCATTGTATCCATCAGAATAGTTTTTCTTGTAAGTTACTGCAATCTCTACACTTGTTCAGGAAGAAATAGTTCAGATGGAAGCAAGAGAGTTCATTGCAGATGTGAAGCAGGAAAGGAAACCGATCTATGGCAAGGTTATGAACTTGTGGACAAATGTATGGTTAAAGTTGTTGTGCCTCTTTGGCCACAAGAAATTTTCCAGTGGTCGAAAACAACAGTGAACTCATGAAATATTATGTCGGGTCGAAAACAACATTTTCAGTTTCTATTTGGGTTTTCTTCTTCGTAATAAAAAAGATGTCCGATGGATCATATTGCATTCAAAGAGTTGTTACGGTTCTCCTATCAACACTATAGGGGCCAGAGGTCAAACATCGACCACTTTACAATGATACTCTATCCACTAATCCACTAATCGGTACTCGAATTAGAACAGACAATCAATATCAATGAGAAATATTACTTGTATTAGAAATTTATGTCCTTATTCTTTTTCAACAGATAAATTTGCATCATTCCATAATTCGTATAATATAGTTTTTTTATAAATAATAGTCATCCTCCTCTTTCATATAATATAATCAATGTATACATCAGAACTCAAACAAGGTGGTAAAAGCACACTGTTTATGTAAAAGAAGCATTAGAATAAACTTCCCACTAAAAAAAAAGATGCAAACTCAGTATTTTTTACCTTACAAATTTGAAAGATGAAAATGCCAATAGCAGCCAATATTAAACCATCTGAAAGACTATATCTCAAAAGTTAAATGAAAAAAAATGACTAAAAATACAAAAATACATTCGCATACCGACCGTAAATACATATTCGAAAGCCAAACTGCAACTTCCTGAATGCCTTTTTTTCAAAAAAAAAAAAAAAAAAAAGGGTTTGAAAGCCTGCAAGAACTCAACTGGGCAGAGGCATAAATGCAAACTGAAAAAAAGAAGTCAAAATTGTGGGGGCGTGGTGGTATATGACACAGTAGGAAGAACCTCTCAATTCCAACAGAGTTAAGATAACCAATAACCAAGGAATGGCGGTCTGTCTAGTTCACAAAATGCTAGAAATGACATCAAATATATATCTCTACAAAGCTTATCTGGAGAAAAGGGGGGGGGG